AATCGACAGATGAAGGTGGTTTGCACGGTTTACACAAATGAAGGCGGTTTTCATATGATCACTCCTCTATATATATATATATATATATACATATATATATATATACTAGTGGTGTACCCGCGCGATGCAGCGCGGGTGAATCACAATTCTGAAACATTAGTTTGACCTTGAATCATGAGTTTGTGTGTTTATTTTGCAAGTTGGATCGGTTCGGACCGGATCATAAAATGGCTAAAGCACATCCTTAATAGAGCCCAAATCAAATCAGACCCACATGAATGGAGAAGTTTTTAAGGAATTAGAAATTAAAGGGGGAGGAATATGCATGGGAGATGGTTTTTTTACTTTTAGCAGTTTCTATGTACGGTTTACCAAACCCAAGACATCCATCATTTTCAAAGCTAACTTTTTGCATGTTATCACTTTTATCCGCCACATCTTTTATACAAGGGTCAAAACAATTAACCAAATTAGAGTCTTGCCCAACATCCGATATGGAAGACCTTCGGTCAAAGGAAATAAATGTGGAAGGTTGTTGTCGAGATAGACCGTTGTATAAATATTTAAAACAATAATCACATAAATAAAAATTTAATTTATCTCTCTCTCCAAACATACTTTTTTTAAGAGAACTATATAAAAATTTGTTAAAACAAAAGGCTGGAGAAAAAATATTATTTTAAATAATCTATAAAAAAAATGTTCTACTGATTTAGGATCTACAAAAATAAGTTGAAAAACATGTATTTTGTTTTTGGTATTTTGATTTCTTATTTTATTTTAAAATATTTACGATTTTGTAACGCCAATAATTAGTTATAAAATGGGTATCTTAAAATAATATCAGTTTTTTTAATCCTCTAGAAGCTATTAATTATAATGATGTAGTTTTAAATTAATTACGATTAAAGATTTAAAAGTTTGATGAAAAGGGTCTAGAAGGTCATTGGGTTGTGAGCAAAAGAAAGCTTTGTGTCAGACATCTCTGTACGTGAAGACAGATATTTTGGTGCATTTTTAGCTTTACCCCTTCTCTTTACTATTATTTACACTTATGCATCTATTGCTTTGTCTATTCCCAATACATCATAGGAATCTTTGAAATTAAAACCTAACATTTACATTTGCTTGATTTTCAATTTAACCACGAACAGAAGTATGGTTGCAACAAATTTGAGAGATAGAGAAGCACCACCAGATCTGTGGTTGGGATCGAACATAAATGTGGCTTTTCTTTCCAAGGAATAATAGATCGAGGAGAAGAACCTCCAGATCTGTGGTTTGGACAATCCAATTTCAAGGAGAAGCAAAAGGAAGCAACAGATCGAGAAAGGTGGTTGGGTAGAGACGACCGGAGTTGGAGCTGTAGGGTGCCAATGATGAAGGCGGCCGAAGTTGGAGCTGTGGTCGATGGACATGCAGTTCCATCCAGATTCTTGTATCGGCAAGCAATCTCACCAAAAGGTTTGGAGGCATCTCTTTTACCATGAATGGCGTTGCAAGTGTATCACAGGAAGATGAAGGGGTGGGGTGAGGGTTACATAGAAGGGTTGGGGATTTGTATGAAAGAAAGAGGAGTAGCCGAAAAACAGAAGAGTGGCTACCGGGAAAGGTTGGGGTAATTGCGGTGAAGAAGCTTACCATACAAATGTGATTGAGAGAAAGAGGGGGGATGCCACACGGTTTTATACAGGTATCACCAGTATGCATTGGGCTGCCAAAGCAAAAGCTTAATACATAAAAAGCAAAAACAAAAGCAAAAGCAAAAGCAAAAACAAAAGCAAAAGCAAAAGCAAAAGCAAAAAACTCAATGCATAAAAGAGAAAAAGAGAGGAAAAGAGAGGAAAGGAAAGCTGGAAAGGGAAGAAGAAGAGAGGAAAAGAGAAAAAGCTTGTACCACATGTTTGAAGAGTTGTATTTAAGAGTTTTTTGAAAATCTTGCATAAAATGATTGTAACTTGTGTTTAAAGAGTTGTATTTAAGACAAAGTCTTAAATGCTTATATATGTAGTATAGATATATATAGATTGTTGTGATGAAGTCGATTGATTGTTAGTTTTTATTTGAATTGTTGTGATGAGGTCTCTTGATATTTTTTCTTCACTGGTGATGAGGACACTTAGGTGCTGAAAGTGGAGTTGATTCCGAGTTGTATCATGGGTTATCTTATTAGTTGGTGAGTATTAGAGATGGAATTCATTTTTTAATTGTTGAATAGGATTATCTTTTTAATGTTATAAATTTTTTTGGTTACATGTTTATAATAAAGTGATGTTTGCATACGATTTTACACCTGACCAATAGACAGGTATAACACTAGTTTATTGTGATAAAGACTAACATATGGTTAGCCAATCACATTTTATGCCATGTTGTGAAACAATAAGTTTACTTATTTTTTTAGCTTAAGGAAAAAGTCTCATTTAATCAACCTAAGTTAGCTTATTAAAAATCAAGAGTTCTTTCCAATTTTCCTCCTAATTATACCTCTAATATTTTTCAAAATAATTTTCCAAAATATTATTTTACATTATCATCAAGTTTAGCTAGGTTTGTTACTAAACATAATTAATTCATCAGTTAACAACTAACTTTTCAGTTATTGAAATAAAAGGGTAGTTTACTTCCTTGTTAAAGGTAAGAAAGCACATAAACAAACATTACACTTGTGATTATAAAGATTGAAGGAAGGAGGTTGCAAACAACACCACAAAAACATTATCATCACATCTTCAGAAATACAAAGCATTCATTCATATGACCCTTCACTTCACTTCACTTCACTTCACTTCACTTGTATTCCAAGATCATGTTGTTTTCTGGTGCCAATCCAACACATGCCCTCAGTATATTCTCCAACATTGCCCTCTGTTTTGCTAGTGCATTCACCACTGGTGTCCCTGGTGGTACCTGTTCTTTTTCAAAATAACCGTCACTTACCGGTCCCACAACATGTGATCGATGATCGATCAATAATTCATTCACAACAAACAACTTACAAGAGGGGCCTTTGTCAGGTAACTCAGGATGGTTGCTACCGGGTGAAATGAATGGAACTTGCCCTCACTTTCCGCTTTCAGTTGGATGCGAGTACTCAGCTCAGCCAATAGGACCAAGTCCAAGATGATTGGTGCAGCCAACAGCGAGTCCTCACATGTATTATGCAGCACGATTGTGTTTGTACCACCCATGAATATCTCAGACGTGTACTCATCCATTGCTCTCTTGCTATCTCCCACATACGGCACATACTACATACATAAATCATCTGTCTAATCACATCGTCCGATCATCTCAATTTAATAGAACATCACTTTAAAATGTAGAAAATTAAGATTTTTGCTTCAACACCATCTTCATAATGGAGTAAATATGAGAGATTGTAATTCTCTCCTTATAGATTTCTTCAAAAACTCTATTTTGATATTCTCAGTGTTACCACATCCAAACAACCAATGAAATAAATGGAAAAGGAGAGTGGAAGAACTTTTGTTATATTATTGAATATTTTTGTATTATAATTAATGTTGAAATCTCTAAATGGAGAAGAAGTAATTTCTTTTTTCAAGATTTTGACTTTTTCTTCTTTCTTTTGGAGAATTGTGAAAAAAACTATTGGACATGCTCAAATGGTTTGGATAAGTTGTTTGCGTCTTGTTTTAAGGGGATTATATACGTGTGTGTGTGTTATCTCAAGTCTTCTTTTATCAGGTGTATAATATACCTTGATAACCACCACATGGTCAGGATGTTCTCCAGGCTCATATAAGATGGCATTGCTTGAAACCATGTCGTCAACCACGTTGCTCTTGGAGATCTCCTTGGATCGGAATGTTTGTGGAGCTGACAGGTTCATTCCATCATTGTTTCCCAAGTGATTGTAGCTCACAATCGATGTTGGCTGTTACCAAAACCTCTCAATCAGTCTTATCTTTAACTAACACTCACAAAGTAAGTGTAACTGAAATCATTGAGCTCAATATGCAAAAGAAGAGAGAAGTGAGGTTGTGACATATAGTTAAAAAAAAGGGTACAAATCTAGCTGATGTAGGACTCCAGCACCCATGTTCATTTCTATTCATGGCATAGAAATAAGATCTACATTACATAATATATATATTAAATGATTACTTACCTTAATACCAGCTCCCACAAGGAAATCAACAAGAACAGATTTCATCTTGGTTTGACCACTCTTAAAGTCATCTCCGCCAATCAAGGTGTTCCTCTGGATGGCCAAATCAATCACCCCTACACCCACAAACTAAATCAATACATATAACAACAAAGATAAAACTTTGGTAAAAAAGATCATATATATGAGGATGAGAAACAAAAAGTTACCTGGTACAAAAGTGTTTTGTGGGCTGCCATTGATGAATGGCACATTTTCGAGAATACAAGCGATAGCATACAAGGTTGATGGAGAAATCTCAGCTTCATTCTTGTCTATTGATGCAAAAAGGTTCTCCATCGTATCATTCAGCCCAACTACTACATTGCTGTATCTTTCTGTATTGGCTGTCCACAGTACCACCACCTTGTCCACCTTGTTTGCCTCCTTAAACTCCCTGTTTCCATTACCATTTTAAAAAACTCAAAAACTTTCATAAACTTAAAGCTTTTTGCAAACATAAGCTATCTTATTTTTTGAGTTTATTAGAACCCCCGTTTAGTTATCTATAAGCTAGCTTTTTGAAAAACTACTTCAAACGGTATTTAATATGCTCAAGGAGCTTTTTCCCATTCTTTTTCAATTATGCCCTTTATATTTTTTTTAAATAATTTTTCATGATGTCATTCTCGGTCATTTTTTGTTGTTATCTGTTATTTTTTATCAAATATGACTAGTTTATAAACTAACAACTACCTTATTAGCCAACAACCGGCTTATAAGCCAAAAGTTAGTTGCTAGATCATAGTCTTAGTTCTTCATACATTTAGGCCAACTACCAAAATGATGTGTTAATGCACATTATGACTCGAATAGAGTGCTATAATGTGTACCTGATGTCCTTAATGATTTTTTGGATCTGTTCGTTCTTGGTTCCCTTGATCACGTTGTCTGCACGTGAACCTTGGTTGGCAGCAATGAAGTCAGGGTCAAAGATACCAGGGAGTGGGACCATGGATTCCATGTAAGGCCTTAACTGCTTTTGGAGATCAATGTCCAAAACCCTGGCCCTTGCCATGGAATCTGCCAAGTTCATGCTGCTTATGTCCCATCCCCCAAATACGATATCGTCAGGGTTCACCTGTATCATTATTTAACGTTTCGTCAGTCACTCTAAACAGACTATATATACAACCATATTTATATCTTAATTATACCCAAGGTTATGTTTTGGGATATACTGGATTTGATTAAAAGCCATATGTTAATTCAGACTGATTTGCAGTTTGTGATTTTTTATGCCTATAGCTTTTGAAATGAATTTTTTATATGATACTAATATTTTATATCCTATTCACTGACTGTTACTTGAAATACATGTGATTAGCTGTTAATATTAAAGTCACACTCATTTAAACAGCAATAAAGAAAAAGAAGCATACCATTGGGAGGAGGCTCTTGAAAGGGGCATAGATCTCCTCTCCATTGAACGACCCAACTCGGATAGTGGATGCTTGAGTCAAGGAACCAAAGTAGTTGGCTTGTTGCACTTTGTCTTTGGTTGCCCAAGATATTCCCCTGTTTCAATTTTAATTTTCAATTATTTTCCCAATTAAAATATTAAACAACAAAAAGAAAAAAAAAGGTCTCATCAAACTCACTACAAGTGATGTGTTATTAGTTCTAATTTCCAAATATGGAACCATGATTGGACGCTAGTTACATATCTTCTTTGATGTCCGGAGTAGCTAATAAAGATGTTGATTACCATTAAAAATCCCTAAAATATTCTTTAAGCATCAACAATTGATGTCCTCAAATCAGTATAAAGATAAACTTTTTGATAAAGATCAGAAAGACAATCTATACCCAACTTACCAGACATCAGATTTGACAAAGATCATTTATGCGCTCGAATCAGTATAAAGATAAACTTTCTGATAAAAACAACTTCCTAATTATAGCGGGGGGATCAAAAACAAAAATATGTAAATTTTAGGAGACAAAAAGTAATGGATACGAACAAATGAAAACATATTTCCAAGTATAAGTTTGTTATCACAAAATTTTATTTTGATTATGAAAAAAGCATTTTGCTTTGGCTATATATTTTTATCTACATGCCTTCCATCTTGCTAAAAAAAATGCCATAGCAATTTTATGATGATTAAAATAATGTTAAATGATGCTCATTAAGAGGTGTGTAACAAAAATGATACCATGGGACCAAAGAATAGAGCTACTGTGATAAAGAAGACAATAATATGACATAAAGTTGCTAAAGAAAATAACTCAAGGCCAAACAAAAGCCTTTTCCAATAAACAATGACAAAGGTGTTCAATTTTATCAAGAAAGTTAACGTTTCTTTTAATAATAATAAAATATACATAGAACCGAGACTAATTATATCAATATTTTGAAATAATATTATACAGGGTCAAAATAATACGTGGTTTTGCTTTTTAGTTAATCCCTACGCAAAAGGCTTGCACATATGTGTAAAGATTGGTTTTCGGCAAATAAATAAAAATAAATAAGAATCTTTATGCAAAAATGGAATCTTTAGGCACGAAACCACTTTTTGCGTACAGATTCCAATTTCCGCGTAAGAATTAAGAGAAAACCACTTTATGCGTAAGGATTCCACTTTCTGCCAAAGCCTTGTGCCTAAAGATTAGCTAAAAAATAGAATTTGGATGAGAGAACTACTAAAAAGTGAAATCTTCTTTGCTGCTCTTCTATTTTTGTCAATTTCCCTAATATATATTAATATATCAGTATCACTTCATCTTGAGGAATTGACAAAAAAAAGTATCGTAAAAGGAAACTGTTAGAAGTACATATTTGATTTCTGGCTAGTCTTAAAGATGATTCTTTCTAACCAAAAATCAAAAAGATGCAATACCTTTTTTTGGGTCGTCTTCCAGAATGTATAGCTTTTTCTTATACGAAAAGATCAATTCACATTTTTTATCAATTAACAACTGTAGCTAGATATTGGTGATGTATGATTTGGTTTGTTTTATTAAAGATCATTTTAGGTACTTAATTACTAAAAAAAATGATAAACCATATAATAGAACAAATATTTTATGTATATACACATCGATTAATTTCATAGAGTTCTTGAAATTAACAACTCCGCAAACCCTCTAGTGATCTTAAAAGAACTTGAACTAGTAAACTTTGAGGAACAAATCCATATCTTACGGTTAAGTTGTCCCTCTTGGTTAACATAATATGCTTTAACCATGAAACCAAATCAAACCAGGACATTACACAAGGGTGGATTTACAGAAATATGTCATTTGTCCCCGGTCATGGCTGTTTTGTATGAAAAAAAGCTTTATGTTGAAACCAAAATAAAGTTATGATTGCTTTGAAAGGAAATAGTCCAAAAGAGTCAGAAAAATATGATAAAAACGGAGATGGCCCTCAGGAAAACAAAACCTAACATGTGGCATGCAACTATACCAACTTAATTAACATAAAATAGTAATTTGTATCAGTAAAATAAATTTTTGGCATTATAATAATATTTAATAACACGAGTCTGATCACCTTTTTCCCACATGTATCATCATCACCTTTACCCACTTGTGTTGCTTTCGGGTCAAAAATTGATAACTCCGATAAGAACTGACATAGCATTTTCGTTGAACCCAAACACACAAGTCACTTTCGTTTTTGACCAGTAGATCAAAATTGGTTGAATAGAAAAATATAAAATTTGATACTCAAATAAGTAACTGGTTCATGATATATGCACATGCACGATGTTCATATTCGTTTTGGTAACGCATCTGGTTCGATCCAAAAGGAATAACAAATCAAAATTGTGCCCAAAGTAAGATCGACAAATCAACCACGTGTGAGCGATGGATGCGGTTTTTTTTTCTGTTCAAAACGAAATACTCACTCTCGATTTGCGATAACACCAGCAGTTAGGGTTGAGCCATTGTTGCCTCCCCATCCGACAAGCATCACCCTGTTAGAAAACGAATAATTAAACACGGATCAAATCAAATAAACGTATAGAAATGGATGTTTCAAAAGTAAATCGATTTTCGAACCCTAATTTAGGAACACGAGTCTGAGTTTTGAACTCGTATTTGACGGTTTTGGGCTTAACAACCCATTGAAAAGCTCCGTCCTTCTCCTCGTGAACAAGCTCTGTGGTATCGTAATTGTACAGAGAGTGTATCTCATCCGGAGTGTACTTAACGTTGGGGCTTTCGACCTTAAAGCTCTCGATAAACATATTTCGTCTGGATTTCTCGACCCAAATGAATCTGAAGCAAAATTTGAGTGCGAGTGTTTAGGGGAGAGAATGAGAGTAATGAGGTGGTTTCTGCTATGGCTACCAAGGGGTGTATATATAGAAAAGTAGGGGCCAACACGTGTCAAGTGGTGAGTGGGGGTGGGTCCTACAGTGGAGAACCGTAGATGGAATCTACAAAAACAAACAAGTTGGTGTTGCAGTGGTCACAAGGTCGACCTCATTCATGGTCCATAAATTCATGACTTACCGTCACGAATTTAATTTAAGTAATCAAATACTTTTATTTTTCTTCGTTATAGAATAAATAATCAGTCTGTTTTAGTGAGATTTGTAAGACTATTTTTTTATGTTTGAAACTTCACAATAAAACATCATGAATGTAACATTTACAATATTTTTGTTATAAAGGTTCGGATTTTCTTTATATTCACGGTATTTTGTGGTGAAGTTTCAATTGTGAAAAAGAGGCATCACATGTCTTACGAAAACAATCTAATCACCGTAGATTGAATCTACAAAACCAAACAGTTGGTGTTGCAGTGATCACAAGGTCGACCTCATTCATGGTCTATAAATTCATGACTTACCTCGTTCTGTATCTATCTCGCGAATTTATTAAAAGTAATTAAATATTTTTTATTTTTCTTCGGTATAGAATATATAATCAGTCTGTTTTAGTCTTTTTTTGCCGTAAAGGTTCAAATTTTTTTTACATTCACAGTAATTTGTTGTGAAGTTTCAATTGTGAAAAAGTTGTCTCACGTGGATCAAGAAAACAGTCTGGTCTCATATGAACTCAACCATATATATATATATATATATATATATATATATATATATATATATACTAGTTTTGTACGTGTTGCAATGCAGCTAATTTATGATCCCAGATTCAAGTCTTTAATCAATTCATAATAAGAATCAAGAATAATAAGATGAATAGAATCTGTCAACCAACTTGATTATGTAAAGGTTTAAGTACAAATGTTTTTTATCACTAATCTCTCTCAATCTCAATCTAACTCTCAATTATGATTAACAGCCAACTAACAAACCTAACACCAAACTATTTATACCTATTACTTAGGGGTGTTCAAAAAAACCGTTGGACCGTCCAAATCAAGTCAAATTGGACCGTTTTTGGCGGTTTGAACGGTCTGGCGGTCCGATCTGGTTCTAAAAATAGCAAAACCGGGCGATCTGGTCTGGAACCTTTTTTGGGCGGTTTGGACCAAAACCAACTACCAAATACATACACACACACACACACACACACACACACACACACACACATATATATATATATATATATTAGAAGGGTAATCGTGCAATGCATCGTAGACACATTTTCATTTCAATGTTTCGTTTTATTTTTTATCCATGTCGATATAATACGATTTAATATGGTTTTGAAAAGGCGATAATGTTTCTATTTTTGAATAAAATATAAATTTGAAAATATCCTATAAAATTTGCAAAAAAACATTATCAATATTAGTATGAAATTAACTATTTAAATGTTCTTGTTTGTGTATTTTTTTTAATTCAAGATTTTTATTATAATTTAATTTAACGTAACGATGTAACTTAATTTAGGTTTAATAATATATTTTATTAGAACTCAATAATATTCCTAATTATATTTTAGATTTTTTATATTTTAAAGTAAGATGTTTATCCTCTATTTGATTATGTTTATCCGCAGTTAGTTACACGAATTCAAACATAGAGCTTTAATAAATTGTACTTATGCACAATTTACTTGTAATCTTGAATTTTAAGTAATATGCATCAATAAACAGTACTTTATGCATAAAAATGGTTTTTAAGAATTTTTGTCAAATGTTTTATAATATATATATATATATATATATATATTTATTTATTTTAGTATTAGCAAACCCAACTTTTTTAACTTAAGAGCTATGACCCAAATATATCCCTAAGACTAACATCTAACATAATCAATATCGGCGCCAAAAACAATTAAACCATTAAACATAACGACACATTTGTTATTGACGGTCTCTAAATTTTGAAATCCCTCAAGAACTCTATCAATCTATTGATCTTTCTAATCCATGGTTTGATTTCGGCGCACATCATCAAGAGATCAACCAAGTGATTCAACCAACATAGATTTGGCTTCTATATTGTTTGGTCAAAGACTCAAGAATTGAAGGTTGTGAAGTCGTGAATTTTGTTAGTCAATACTCATGATGGAGTTGTAACTTTGTTAATTTATTTGTTTTCTAATATGTATTATATATTTATTTGTTTGTACTTTGGATTGCTTCGACTTTGTACTCAATAGCTATTTAATTATTACATCATTAGCATCAAAATAATGCTAACAATCTCATTTTAGAAGTCTATAAATTGATCATTTTATGTACCATTAGTTTCTGTCCAAAAATGAGATTTTGGGATTATTTGATTTTGTAAAATTTTGATCTTTTTATTGGACTATAGCATTACTTCCGGTATAAATATACATTAACGAGCATATGGACATTATGCATATTTGGACTATGGATAATCATATGGGTCATAAGTAGACAAGTATGGACTTAGGACTTATTAAACCCCATAAGTAGTGTTAAATCCATAAGTGATGGTTTTGGATATTCCTCTTTGATAGGGAATCGTTGAACTAATGTGGTGATCGGATCGTATCTCTATTTTGCGGAGCATTGCAAAAGAGTGAGTATTCACGGCCCCTTTTTAAAACATTTCGTTATTTGGGGGAAAAAGCATGTATAAAAATAGTGATGTTTTGCATCCAATATTCATTGCGTTTAAATTGTGTATTCACATTGATTCTTATGAATTATGTTTTTAACTGAAATTGTGAAAGCGAGCACTAACACCTTGTACTCAAGTAATAGTTGTGTTTGGGTTAATTCAAAAGTCCCGGTGTGACACTACTTATTAACTCGTTTGAGCCGGTAGTTTAAGTGGATAGCGCTATTTGGACTGACAATCCCACCTTCTGCTGGTGAGTAGGGGTGCATATAACTAAAACAAGGGTTCTACACATGTGGGGTTTAGTCCCACCGCTGAGGTAGTTCGGTATAAAAGGGCGTAGGTGTCAGGTTTAGTAGTGGCCCAACACTTAAAAATTTCTTGGAGTACATTGTGCCTCGTGTGTAAGTGTTGCGAGTAAATAAAAGATTTACTCGAATTAAATTTTGTATAAAAAGATTTGTTGTGCATTGAAAACCTGTGAACTCACCAACTCTTGTAGTTGACACTTGTTTTGACGTGCTTTTTCAGGGGTAAGAAAGGCTCATGGTGACACTTAAAAGAAGTTGTGTCACAATCATCACCTTCAAATTTCTTTTGTATTTAATTTACAAACTTGTCTTTGGGATTGTAGACTTTGGTTATGATGTATTTAAATTTTATAATGTATGTTGTGTTATTTATACTCTATTGCTATGAGACTCTACCTGCCATACCTCGCGTTTCTGCTTTAGCGGGGTGTGACAGATTTGGTATCAGAGCCATAGGTTATACCGGTTTTTCTTAAAACCTAACTATAACCAAATGTTTTCAAAACAAAGTTACTAAGTATAACAAGATGATGGAAGTCGTGTTAAAATACTCAAATTAAACAGAGCCTGATCACCTTTGTTTAACTTAAGTATTATGATAAAAGATTCCCATCGGTTGAGCTTAAAATAAGGTTAAATTCAAAGATTTTATCTTAAACCTGAAAAGCATGATCGTGTGTGTTTGCATGAATCTTGAATATCCATCACCTTGATTTACTAGAAGCTCTGGGTTGTGAAGTGAAGCAAGATATATAGAGCGCTAAGACAACCCGAGGGTCAACTCTGTATCTAAATACTTGGTAGCTAGACATAGATAAAAGGGTATAGTCTCTATAGCCTCTGTATTTAAAATTTGAACTATGCGTTAGGTAGAAAATTGCCTGGACATAGTGAGAATTGCGTTCTAGTTTTGAATAAGGACCATTATTCTATATAAATGAAGAGCGTCCAAAAGTTGTGGTTGGCTTGATTTCGAGAGCCAGAAGCTCTGGTTAGAAGAACCAGAGGCTCTGGTCTATGAATGGGAAATATTTTCTAAGTATGAGGAACCAGAGATTAATGGAAGATGATCCATCTRTTCACTATGTATGAGGAACCAGAAGGTTGATGGAAGGCGATTCATCGGTTTACTGTATATGAGGAATMTGAAATTGATGGACCAAGAGATCCAATGGACTGCTATGAAGGTTGAGCTAGAGGCCGATAAGCTAAAAGTCAAATGTAGTTCCAAGTATGGGAACCTCAACCAGGGGCTCTGGTCAACCAGAGGCTCTGGTCATCCAGAAGCTCTAATTTGCTTTCTAACCTTTTGCTTCTACCATAGCAACTCTCGTCTTAACCTTAAGAGTTTTATTGATGATGTGATTAGTAATTAAGTTTGCCAATGGCCAAGAAATTAGGACCAGGGATATAATCATGGACTGCACTTTAAACTTGACTAGTAGGGATTTTCGTATAGATTTAATCCCGATTCCACTAGGAAGTTTTGACATATTGTGGGCATGGATTGGTTATCCAAGAACCGAGCTGAAATTAGTTGTTTCGAGAAGATCGTTCGAATTCCGTTACCCGAAGGGGGAATACTCGAAGTACATGGAGAGAAGTCCCAGAGAAATTTCAAGTTAGTAATGTGTATGAAGATGTGAAAATACTTGAAAAAGGAATATGTCGCGTTTATGGCTAACATTATGGATAAAGGAATTAAAAAGAAAAGCATCCAGGATTTTCCCATAGTTCGGGATTTTCCCGAGGTGTTTCCTGATGAGCTACCAGGATTACCTCCGTTACGGAAAGTCGAATTTCACATTGACTTAATTCCCGGAGCAGCACCTGTAGCCAAATCACCATATCATCTGGCACCATCGGAAATGAAAGAATTGTCAGATCAACTAAATGAGCTACTTGACAAAGGATTCATCAGACCCAGCTCTTCACCCTGGGGAGCTCCAGTTCTATTTGTTAAAAAGAAAGACGGATCCCTTCGAATGTGCATCGATTATAGGGAACTCAA